ACACACACACACACACACGGCCTCCAAACAGCGGAGCCGTGAAGGCATAAATCCGACCCTCTGCTGTTGCACAAGATGCTGTAATTCGTGTTGAAACGTGTCTGTATATTTGCGTTTGTGTTTTTGTCTATAAATAATAATCCTACAGTAAGCGTGATCATGGCTACGGAGACCCAAAGTGTTCAATATAAATAAATAGAGGCATGAAATTGCACATTTTTAAAGCTCAGCTCATTATTGTGAGATTTGTTTTCTTTTTCACAATAACAGTTTATTGCACGTCTTTTTTATTTTATTCCAGCAGTTTTGTTTAACTTTCAAAATGTTTTTATTCCACAATACAATTTTAATTCTAATTTTATTTTATTTAACTTAACTTAAATAAGTTAAGCATAAAATGTATCTTGTTTCAGGGGGTTTTGTAATAAAGTCTGTTTGAGGGCAGAGTCAGTAATGTGATTGGCTGCTTAAACAACCAATCACATTACAGGCTTTGTCACATGCCTTAGGTAGTAACGCTCTGCATTAGGTTATTTTACAAATAAATGGCTCTATTATGTAGTTTGTCTCCATTTATTAATATGATTATTAATTTCATAATGTCTTACTCATTTATTCAATATTCAACACTTTGGGTCTCCGTACATCGCACCTGTCTGTCGTAATAGCCCAACCTACATCACGTCATTTCCTCCTGAAACACGGGTACCTTTGTACCGTTGTACAGATAACAGTGAATGAGTCTCACATCCATTGATTTAGTTTTAAGATTTAAGACAGATTTGAAATGCTAAAATATGTTTATTGGGCCTTTAACAGCAGAGCTGCTGGTGGTTCAGTTCATCCAGAGATTAATCTGGCCAGGCCTCTGTGTACCTCTGCTTGCACCGGCCCATATTCCACCACTTCTCCATCTACTGTTATTATCCCTTTGGGTGAATATGGCTCCAGTCTGAGTGCCCGCACCTTAGTGTACACCAGATGTTGACAGTTAGTAGCCAGATGTGCACCTTTCTCCATTGCTAGGAACAGCTTCAGCAGCGCGGTGCGGGATATTCCCGCTTTAACGTAGAAAAGATGGATGACGCCGTCGGCCGCCGTGGCGCCCGGGGCTGCCATCAGGTCTTCCGCCAGGTGGGACTGGTACATGGCCAGCATGAGGACAAAGTCTTCCTCCTGCACCACCACCCAGTCGCTGGGCAGCGGCTGGTCCAGAGGCAGCAGCAGGGAATCTGGCGGGCCGGGGAGGGATTTGGTGGCGCTTCGAGAAGGCGTGCTCTCCGTCCTCCTCACTTTGAGGGAGTTGTTGGAGTGGCAGGAGTTGTGGAAGGTGTTCTCACAGGGAGAGTCTCTGGACGGTCGACACAGCACAGAGGCTGGACCCAGGGAGGAGGCCTGATTGTTGCAGTGCAGCGTCACGTTATTTCTCAAACCCTCCTTGTTGTTGTAGTCCTCGGTGGCAGGCAGGTAAGCCAGCTTGCCCTTGTAGACGCGGAGAGAAGCCAGCCTGATCAGCGTGCCGACTGTGAACCGGGCAGCTCCGACGTGACGGTACTTCTCGCTCTCTATATCCACGTCTGCTACGAAGCCCCAGGCCAGCGACAGGAAGGAGAAGAGACGAGGGCTGGAGGAGAGGTGGATGGAGACCAGGTCCATACGGGACACGAGTCCTTTACAGAGCAGGAAACCACAGCTTACCAGAAGCTCCTCACTGGACACCGGCGAGGCTCTGGAGGAACGAAAGAGGACAGATCAGTTAGTCACAACAGGCGTTTAAACCCCCTTCATATCACATTGTCAAGGGTCTCTTTCATGATCCATTTAGTTGTTCTGGAGCTTTCGATTATATTATGTGTAGTTTGTCGTGTTGATATTGAAATTTCCATTCCACAGCTACTAAATGTGTTTTGTGGCAAGACAAGATAGATAGATAGATAG